GCAAAAACCCTTGTTCCTTCCTATTATTGCTTATATTCTCTCTTCAACAAAATTAGAGATAAGGGCAAAATAGTTTCTGCCGGGTATCGAGGGGGTTGGGGGGAGAGGGATGAGGGAGGGATGGGTGGGTGGTAAGGGAGGGGGTGGGGGCAGGGGGGAGAAATGACCCAAACATTGTATGCACATATGAATAATAAAAAAAAGAAAGAAAAAAGAAAACACCTAACACAGAAAAGAGCTGGTGGAGTGGCTCAAGGTGAAGGCCCTGAGTTCAAACCCCAGTACTGAAAAAAAAAGAATTTGAGATAATAATAGAGCAATCTGAGAGATGAAAATGAAACACTTAAAGTGCTTCAAAAGATGAAAGGAAGTGGGAATGGTGGTTCACACCTGTAATCTCAGTTTCTTGGGAGGCAGAGATGCATGGACCATGACTAGCAGTCAGCCCAGGCAAAATGTTAGCAAGTGCCTATATTGAAAACAAGCTGGAAAAAAATAAAACTACTACATTATTAAAAAAAAAAACCCAAACAAAAATAACCAAATAAACCAAGCCAGGTTTAGTGGTTTACACTGCCGATCCCAGCTACTCAAGAAGTGGAGGTAGGAGGATCATGGTATGAGGCCAGACCGGGCAAAAGCACGAGACCCTACCAAGGTGAAGCAAAAGAACGGGGATGTGGCTCAAGTGGTAGAGCATTTGTTTAGCAGGTGCACTAAATGCTTATAAGATTTGGTGGTGGTAACTTTGAAAACCCAAAATGTTTTCCAATGCTTGCTTCACAGGAGAATTAGGACCCTGAGGAGGATGGGAGAGACCTTGTTTAATGCTTCCTGGTCCCCTGTGGTGCCAATACACCCAAAGGCACAGGCATGGTGCCCCTCACCCATGGCATCAAAGGCTGGCACCAGGCTGACATCCATCCTGCTTTCTGGTTCTGTGGACAGCAGCTGGAATTGCAAAGCCTGGTGCCCGTTCTGCTCAGGAAACCTCAGGCTCAGACCAGGGACTGGGTCCCGCCCCCAGGATTCCAGCTGGGCCTGCACATCACGGAGGATGTCTGCACGAGGCTCCTGGTCCTGGAAGTCTGTGAGGCAGCTGAAGAAGACAACGATTTCCAAGTCACAGCTGCCCCTAAGGTCCGTGCCGCGGCCAAACGAGCCCCCCTGTGGAGGAAGGACAGCTCAGACATGACCCTCCAGGAGCCTGGGGTCACACTAGTATCCCAACAACCACCCCCCGCAGCTGCAGCAGGAAACAGTTCTCAATGATGTCGGGTGAACAGAGGCACACAGCACATCAAGCCCTGTGACCTGGCTCCTGGCACAGCCAAGCTGTATCTGTCATACCTGCCTTCCTGTCAGATCCTGAGTGTGACCAAACCCATGTGAGGAGCAGAGAGTTAGAGTAGTGACATCTGTCCTACCTATTGCAATCTGGACCAACAGTGGCCGATTGCAGTCCCAGAACCAAATGGCTCAGCCAGTCAACCATCAATTCATTGATTCACTGCTGCCCAGACTCACTCGTGCAACAGACATTTATTGAGCACTTGCAGGTACGAGGACGTGTGAGGGTTGGGGAGGGGTAGTTGATAAGCAACAGCTTCCAAAACACTAAGTGCTCACAGACGCAGGCAGAGTGGGAGGAGCTAGTAGTGCAGAACATAATTTTAACTAACTAATTTATTTATTTTTTGGCAGTACTGAGGTTTGAACTTGGCCTCACTCTTGCTCTGTCACTTGAGCCAGCCCTTTTTGCTTTAGTTATTTTTAAGGTTAGGCCCGAAGTTTGCCTGGGGTTGGCCTCAGACTGTGATCCTCCTTCTTATGCCTCCTGAGTGAATTACAGCCATGTACCATCACCACACCTGCAATTTTAAATTGCATGGTCAGGCCACATTGGAGGGGAGGGAGAGAGCCAGAGGTTGGGATTGGAGCAGCCAGGAGACCCTCTGGGGTTAGTGAGGAAAAGAGGTTGCTGGAGCCAAGTCCTAAATCCTCACTCTGTGAAACTATGGAGGATTTTGAGCCTGGGAGGTGATCTGATTATTTTAACAATCATTAAAAACAAAAAACCAAAAAAAAACCTAGCTGAGCACTGGTGGCTCAATGCCTATAGTCCTAGATCCTAGCAGGAGGCAGAGATCAGGAGGATCGCAGTTCATAGCCAGCTGGGGAAAATAGTTCTCCAGACCCAATCTCAAAAACACCCAACACAAAAAAGGGCTGGTGGAGTGGCTCAAGTGGTAGAGCGCCTGCCTAGTGTGTGTGAGGCCCTGTGTTCAAATCCCAGTACCACCAAAATATCTATGTATATATTGGGTCATTGGGCAGGCAGAGTGGCTCAGATGTCAGAGTGCCTGCCACTAGCATGAAGCTTTGAGTTCAAACAACAAAAGCACCGCCAAACAACAACAACAAAACAAACTCCACTGGGGCTAGGGCTGTAGCTCAGTGGGAGAGCGTTTGCGTGGTGTGGGGGGGGTGGGTTCCACCCCCAGCACTAAAAACAAAGCAAAGTGAATACAAAACATGGCATTTAAACACACAGGTGGGCCCTGGACTTAGGGAAGGTTTGGTTATGGTGGAGCAAAGCAACCAGTGCAACCATTTTGTTTCCTTTTCGGCTGATTTGAGATATCTAACACGTTATTATAAATAAGCTGGTGTCTGCTGATTCTGCTGTGGTGTAGACTAATGCAAGCATTCTGAGTGTGTTAGGTGAGGCTGAGCTTTGAGTCAATGTAGGTTGGGTGTATTAAATACATTTTTTTGATTTACCATACTGTCAACTTACCACGGGTTTATCAGGCTGCAACCCCGTCATAAGCTGTGTATGGTCTGTCTACAGCCAGCCAGCAAACCACCCTTCCAGGGTTGTCCCGCTCCCCTGTGCAACCTTGGCTGTGGCTGTCCCCTCCCCCTGTGGTTTCTCCAGGGCGTCCCACAGAACCTTCACAGGGCAGCTCACCTTGCTAACCCTCGAGGGCTTGTGCACACAGCTCTCTCTGAGGCAGCGCACGACACTGTCGATGGCCTTTTCACCTGCTCCTGGAACTGGGGACTCGGCTTCAGGTGGTTCTGGATGAAGCGGTCCAGCTCTTTGGTGGGGACCTGAGACAGATCCGAGGCAATCCGTGGGACAGATGGGGTGATGTTGGCTGTGGCCACAGGCCTGGTAGGTGAGCATGAGTGCTGCTTGCTCCTCGCCCCTGGACACCCAGGCTCGAGGCTCTTGCTGCACTCAGAGGGTCCCTGGTCAGGCACCGAGGGGATAATGCTGGCTGCTTCTGAGCAGAGCCGTGAGAGCTGCTTGCCTCCAGCTTTTGGACTCACGGCACTGAGGCTCTTGCTGTTTCCAGAGCCCCCCTGGTCAGGGTCTCGCTGGATGGGGTGTGGAAGGGCCTGGAAAGTCCAAGGGGCCACGTCAGCCAGCGCAGAAGTTTCCATCATGACTCCCCCACAGCTAGAAAGTCTGCAGCGCTGCAGACAGTCACACTTGCTCTTTCCCCTCCATGCTCTTGACCAGGTGACCAGTGTCTGACGGGCCCACTGTCCTGCCTTTCTCACCTCTGTCCCACACCACACAGCAGGTTCCCAGGAAACACCAGACACATAAATCAAGTGCAAAACCCAAAAGCCCAGGGACCCCACCCCCGCCCCGTCACTCACCAGCCTCTTCCAGGGCTGCACAGGGTCCCCCGCCTGCAGGAAGCACAGTTGGTCATAGCTGGACTTGGCCTCCCGGGCCAGCACATCCCAGTGCCAAGTAGCCCCATTGCCCACATCCCACGTGGGGTCGGCGGGGTCCAGGATTATAGGCCTGCAACCCCAAAGAGACAGAAGGGTCTGGTTAGCAAGATGGTTAAGCTCAGAGCTCTGTAGCCGAGCAGACCTGGTTCCAATCCCAACTCTGCTACTTTCCAGCTGTGTGACCTGAGGCTGGTGGCTTACCCTCTCTGAGCCCCAATTTCTTCATTTGCAAAATGAGAACAACAGTGCCATTAGAGAGATTCACTTGGACAGTGGTCCCTGACGCCAGTCACATGATAAATCGCTCTGAGTGACCCCTGGGATGTAGCAACTCCATTCCTAGCCACACGTCCATTTGATGACTGGGCATCATAAGTCATGCACAGAACTGTTTGTAACAGCCATGTCCATGACAGCTTCCAACTGGAAACAACCCAAATATCCATCAATAGAGGGAGATCAGCCGGAGGCAATGGCTCACACCTGTAATCCCAGCTACTTGGGAGGTAGAGGCGCTACCTGAGACCAGCCTGGGCAATTGTTTAGTGAAATCCTATCTCAAAAACAAAGTATAAAAAAACCAAAAGGGCTGTGGGTATAACTCAAATGACAAAGTGCTAGCCTAGCAAACAGGAGGCCTTGGGTTCAACCAGCAGAAACACACACACACACTGGAAATCACACCGTAATAAATTCACACAAGGGAATACTACACAGCAACGAAAAGGAATGAACACAGTTGCATGGGTAGCTCTCAAAGGCTTAAGGGGGAGAAAGAGAAGTCAGACACAAAACGGCGGGCCATATGGTTTCATTCAAATACTATACGAGAGCAGGCACAACTGCAATGATAAGAATCAGAATGGGGTCATCTTTGGGGCATTACTGACTAGGAGGGGCTCTCTGGGGTGCTGGAACTAGTCTGTGCTGACCTGGGTGGTGGTTTCACTGCTATGAGCACCTTAGAGACAGTCATGAAAATGTGCACATTGCCAAAGTCTTCACACAAAATACGCAGCCTGGGCGGTTAGGTTTTTCTTCCAAATCCCCCCAGGTGGTTCTAGCCCTGCTTTGCCATTGTGAATTAGCTCCTGGGGGGCACTAGTAGGTACCTGGGTCTCTCAAGCTGTGTCCGCAAGAATGTCCCGACTTCAGGATCCTCAAAGCCATAGTTGACGGTCCAGAACACACACAGGTTCTGATACTGCTGGATCAAGCCCAGGACGGATTGGAGGCCTTGGGCCAGGCTGAAGGCGTCCTCCCCACAGCCCTGCTCCCAGGCGAAGATGGTCAGAAGCTCCAGAGCATAGACTGGGAGCAGCGTCCCTCTCCCGGCCTCCTGGGGGTGCACCTGTGAAGGGTGGGGTCCGGGGCTCAGCGGGATAAGGTGCGGGGAGAGGCCCCTCTCTGTGGGACTCTAGCCATCTTGTCTCCAGGCTGATCTGGGAACAAGATGGATGGTTGTGGCTTCAGCTAAGCCATTGGCGGTGGTGGTGGTGGCAGGGGTTCAAGACCCCAGGAGGCAGCGGGACCCCAAGCAAAGGTGAGGCAGGTCTGGGGTCCTGGTCAAATGCCTCATTAGGGAAGACAGTACATACGGCACCCAAGGAGAAGGGCACCGAGTTGTCACCCTCTCACCTCTGGGGTAGGGGCAGGGAAGTGATCAGGACTCACCTGTCCCTGCAGCTCCCCCCTTCCCCATCTGGACACAAATGATTTCCTGGTGCACCATGCACCCGGGGGGAATTAACTCTGTGCCCAGCAAGAGTTCCAGGCCTTAGGGCTGGCAGGGCAGGTCAGGAGGGGACTTTGGCTCTCCAGAGGTGACCTGCCTGGATAGAGGCATCCAGCAGCCCCACTGCCACCTCTCACTGGGTAGCACAAGAAACAAGTCCAGGTGCACCTGTGCCCACCACCCAGCTCGTGATAGAGCCTTAGCACCAGGCAGGCGGCACCACAGTTTGCCTTTTTGGTTCTGTTTTGTCTTTTTTTTTTTTTTTTGAGGCAGGGTCTCACTATGTAGCCCAGTCTGGTCTCTTACTTGTGCTCCTCCTGCCTCAGCTTCCCAAGGGCTGGGATTGCAGACATGCACCATCATGCCTGGCTAGTTTGCCCTTTTAATAAGTAACAGGCTACTAGCATTTTCTGCTCCCAGAGAATCATTGTAATGTGAGAAGAACCTGAGAAAGACAGATTCATGTTCTTTTCTGTGCAGGTGGAAGAAACTGAAGCCCAGCCAGAGGAGGCTAGGAACTTGCCTAGAGTCACACAGCAAGTCAGTGTCTAAGCCAGAATTAGAATCCAGGATCTCCATATCCCCCAGACCTGACTATGACAAATGGGCCAATGGAAGGATCAAGCTATGTGCCCCAAGATTTAGGGGGAGCTTGCTCCTTCACCTCCAGGATCAGGCTGGCACGCCTACCCCAGTGCCCATGTTTGTCAACAAAAAGTGTGCAGAGGGGCCTTCCTGAGGCTGGGAAAGGGAGTCTGCAAACCCTACATTACTTCATACCCTACAGAAACCGTTCCCGAGAGGCCAAGCCCTCATTATGAAAAGGAAACGTGGGTGAATCACTGTAGGAAGTCGGGGTGGGGAAAGACATCTTAAGACACACAAGGAAAAAAATCACCTAAGAAAAAGATGAATACATACGGTTACATTAAAATTCAACTATTTTCAGGGACAAATGATCTTTAAACCAAGCTGAATTGCAAGCCACAGACTGAGAGAATACATTTGCCTTCCATTAAGTAAATAAGAACTAGCAACCACAATATATAAAGAGCTTCCGCAAACCAACAAGAAGCTAGCAAATGAGACAAAGCAGGCACTTCCTAAATGTCCTCAACTGTGTTTTCACTGTATGAAAACACAGCACAGTCACATGTCTGGGGTCAGGACCCTCCTAAGTGACTTCACCTGACTGTACCAGTGCTTGACCAGCAGGATGAGGTTCTTGAGTTTGGCCGGGCGGCTGTTGACGAAGTTCCTCCGGAGCTCTGTGAAGCAGGCGGCGTGCTCGCCCCCCCGGGAGCCGCTGCGGATCAAGGATGAGTAGACCTGGGGCTTGGGTTTGTCCCCAGAGCTGAGCTGTCCTGTGGAAGTCAAGAACAGTGAGTTAGAAGGATGCCGAGGACACAGATGAAAGGTGATGTCGGTGCCCTGCTTAGCCTGGGGCACTGGGGAGTGGGAAGAATTGGGGGTGGCGTCTGGCAGCATGGGAGGTTGCGGATTGGGAAGGGAGGCTGGAATGCTGGAGACAAGAAGGTGTCAGTGGGAGGATCCCTTCCTTCCCAGTGATCAGGTGGAATCCTAATCCAAGGTGGTTAAACAGGAAGATGCTTCTGCTGCTGAGTGACCAGGTCACCCTTTCCAGCCTGTGGCTCCCTTGGGCAGCACTAAAATGCCACCGAGCACGCCTTCAATTACATGGGACCAGGGGAGAGGAAAACAGAGCTGGGGAATCAGAAAGTGAGGAACTGTGATTCTGTAGGGACGATGGCTAACGATTTGGGGGTTGGGCTCCTGTGAAAGGTTTTGCATGGATTTCCTTTTGTGTCGGCACCCCAGCCCTATGGGACAAGTTCAACTCCTCCTCCCCTTTTCTAGCTGAGAACCAAGGGGCACAGAGGGACCCAAGCTTTGCTCAAGGTTACACAGTGTGGGCAAGCAGTGGAGTCAGGATTTGAACTCAGAGCCAACTGGTTTCACGGTTTGTGCCTTTTCCTCCACCATTCCCATGGGGCACGGCTTGGGGAAAAGTAGGCACTCTTCATAATTCCTTAGGTCGCTGAGCGGCTTTGGGTGAGTTACTGAATGTCTCTGTGATTCAGTTCCCCCACTGGTAAATGGAAGATGAAATAGTAAAGACCTCACAGGTGAGTTGTGAACAGGTCAAATTCCTGGAACAGGAATCTGCTCACTTGCCGATGGTACACGGCCAAAGACCCAACCCACTGTAGACTGAAAATACCTGAACCTGTTTTGAACATACAGCCCTTTCTCCTTGTTATCATTACTCTCTGAGCACACAGGACAGTCACAGTCAGATGCTGTGTCACTGTGATTCAGTCAATGAACAGAATATTTGACCGTGGATATGAACCAGGCTCAAGTGTGCAGTCTGCCCTGCTCTATGTCGTGTCAGAACCCTTTGTGGTGTTGACACAGCAATGGCATCAACCACAGACCCGTTTCTCAGGACACGCAGATGGTAACAACACAGACTGCGGTTTATGGAAGTCACGTGTCAGAAGTAAGCTAGATGATTCAAAGCATCCCGGAGGTCCTGGATTTCTCTGGGGGGTGGGAACTGGAACCGGCTCCATGTGGATACCAAGAGCTGAGGGCTACAGGGGTGGTGGACATGGCTGTCTGCCCAAAGGATAGAGCTAAATAATAATAATAATAATAAATAATAACAGCAAAGACGCCTTTAACCCATATCATGTGCTAGATTTGTTATAAGTATTAACACATTTAATCTTTTTTTTTGCAGTACTGGGACTTGCACTCAGGGCCTACACCTTGAGCCACTCCACCAGCCCTTTTTTGTGATGGGTTTTTTTGAGATAGGGTCTCACAAACTGTTTTCCCGGGCTGGCTTCGAACCACGATCCTCCTGATGTCTGCCTCCTGAGTAGCTGGGATTACAGGCGTGAGCCTGACTCACATTTAATTCTGTGCAATCCTCTCGGCACCGTTATTATTACTATCCTGATTTCACAGACGCAGAGGCAGAGGTGCTCTCTGTAGTATGTCAAGCATAGGTGTGTTATGATGGAGCAGGAAAAAAATCACTGTTTCCTAGATAAAATATAAGATTTTGGGTCAGACGTGGTGGTACATGCCTGTAATCCCAGCTACTTGGGAGGCATAGGTAGGAGGATCTCTATCTGAGCCAGTCTTGGGTAAAAATGGGAGACCCAAACTCAAAAATAAAGAAAAAAGGACTGAGCAGAGCACCTGCTTGGCAAGCATGAGGCTCTGAGTTCAATCCCCAGTACTGTAAACAAAACAAAACAAAAAACCCAAGATTCATCAGATTCTGGTCTGGCCCCCAGCAAACTGCCACTCGTCATGTGTCTGTTTGCTTTGCCCACTTGGGGCATTTCTGGAAGGGTTGAGCAGTAGTGCTGGAAATGTGGGATCCCAAAGATGACTGGGTGAGGCCAAGCATCTTCCAAGGAGGACCACAGGTCCAGGGGACCCAGGCCTTCTTTGTCCCTGCTTGGTCCAAACCTGATGTGTTTGTCTATTCAAGGAACTGAGACCAGAGAGGGATAGCGGCTTGCCCGAGTCACACAGCAAGTCACTGGTGGGGCACAATGAGATGACCTGTTTTATCCCCAATGATGGCACCCAGGGTTGGGGACCCCTCACCCAGGGCATCAAAGGCAGGCACCAGGTTGACATCCATCCAGTGTTCAAGGTCTACGGATGCCAGGCGGAACTGCAGGCCCCCAGTCATGGTTTGCTCTGGAAACTGAAGGCTCAGTCCGGGGACTGGGTCCTGCCACCAGGCGTCCAGCAGTGGCCTCATCTCATGAAGGATCTGTGCACCATGTGTCCTCTGGTCCTCGTAGCTCTTGAAGCAATCGAGGAAGAAGACAAGTTCTGAATCACAGCCACCCCTGAGGGCTGTGCCTCGACCATAGGAACCGCCCTGTGAGGAAAGAAGAAGCTGAGAACTCCACACTCTCCAGGTCCACTGCACGAGGACTGATGGGAAACTGAGTGAGGGAAGTGGGCTGGGTGGTGTAGGATTCAGGCATGAGGCAGCCAGGCCTGAGTTTCTACGAGAAGCAATTTTAATTTGTAAATCTGTGACTGTTAAATATTAACAACTAGCTTTTAAAAAAAAAAGTAAAACAAACTGGTTTAAGCTAAGTGTGGTGTTGCATGTCTGTAATCTCAGCTCCTCAGGAGGGGGAGGTAGGAGGATCATAGTCCAAGGCCAGTTCTGGCCAAAACGATGAGGCCCTACCTAAAGAAATATCTAAAGCTAAATAAGATTGGAGTCATGGCTCAAGTGGGAGAGAGCACCAGCCTAACAAGCACGAGGCTCTGAGATCAAATCCCAGTGTAACCAAAAATGAACAAAGAAGCAAACAAAACCCTTTGCTGTGATGTGATCCTGAATTTCTGAGACCTTTCTGACAGGATTTTCTTTCTGCGGTGCTTCCAGATTGAGGATGTGAGGAGGCCCCTGAACATGGTGAGAGCCTCTGTTCTGTGCGTGGCATCAAACCCCTAAGTCACTTCCTACAGGAAGTGGTACCTTTGCCTGCAGATAGGGTTGGACCCAGGAGTCAGACTCCAAACTCACAATCTCTCTACCTTCTTATGGTAATAAATCTTCATTAACAATAATGAAGATTTTCAAATCTATGCCAGGAGAGAAAGGAGTTTAAAGAAATCCATCCCACTATCCACCCTGCTTGTTCTAGTTGTACCCCGTTTTCATGGGCACGTCTAAAACAGTGACTCCACAGAGTAGGTAAATGTGTCCCCGTGGACATTTGGCTATGTCTGGAAATATTTTTGACAGTGGTGGTGACCAGAGCAAGGAGCCTCTTCATGCTGGTCTCTGGCGGGTCATTCTGACACAGTTTGGAGGTTTGTGATCTTCTTTCCTTTAGGCACAGCCTAGCCTGGCCCTGGAATATGTCACTCCTGCAAGTGTTGCTGGGATCAGAAGACTTCCTAATTCTTTGTGTCCCTCAGGGAAACTCCATGGCAGGACACGTGGGTGCAAAGGGAGTTTACTAAGTTAGGGAAGGGAACTACAAAAGGGGGCATGGTGGGCCCAGGTGGACTCTGGAGGCCAAGAGAGAATGCGTCTCTTCTCCAGGTGCTTTTAAAAAAGGGAAGAACCAGGAGATCCCCAATAATCAATGGGTAGGGAGGGGAAAGGGTGGTTCCCAGGCCAGGGGAGGGCGGTCCCTCAGCCAGAGAGTGGTCAATCTGAGATGTAGTACTAAGTTTCTATGAGTCCTGAACGTCCCCTAATTTTAGCCTGCCTCACAAGGAGTCCTTTCCATGGAGAATGGTATCCCCCGGCCACAGTGAGGGCTCTGGAGCCAAAACCTCTGTCGGACAGCTTCGGGTGACCAGAGGGCCACAGGCCATGTTCAACCGGGGCATCAGGTGCAGCTGTGAGGGCTTTAGGACTCCTGAGACTTGCTCCATGGAGGTCCCTGCTGCCTCTCTCAGATCAGAGGCAGGCCTCCACCTCCAAGGCTCCTGGTCCGCCTTTCACTGCGTTTTCACCCCTTCACCTGGCAAGCTCCAAATTGGCTCTACCTTCCCAGGTTCCCAGGATCGGCCTCTGGCTTCCCCCAGCTTACTCCTAGGACTCAGTATCTCACCGTTTGTCTCCCCCAGATTCTGTGAGCACCCTGAGGTCACATTTGCAGTGTGTCACAGTGCGTAAGTGACACACTGTCACTTGCAGCAGTGGCTTAACCACCACGCCCAGCCTCAGTTTACCCATTCATAAAAGAGGGGCAACAACTTCCACTTCGTCGAGTCTGAGGAATGAGGTAACACTCATTTAACCAGATCAAGTTCATTGCTATCTGGCAATTTCTTCTTGAAGGAGCGCATTACACAACAGGATCATTTCTGGTTCCTCGGAGGCAGGGACAGTGCCAGGTCATAACTGGGTGACTGCGAGGATGAATGAGGAGAGGCGGCCTTGGGGCGCGCAGAGGAGGAAAGCAGACTCCCTGCACATGAACCCTGTGGCTGGGCCGTTACAGGTGACTTCACCTCGCTCCGTGCCTCAGTTTCCCCCTCGAGTGCTGCAAGCCGCTAAGGTGAAGGCTCCTGGAGGTGACCTGTGTGTCCCCCCACCTCCTGCGCTCACCTTGGCCGTCTTCAGCACCCGCGGCGTGGGCTGCGCGCCCCCGCGGCTCCCGCGCTCCCGGAGGGCAGCGTCCAGGGCGCCCAGGGCGCGCCGCGCGGTCCCCAAGAAGTCGGCGTCCGGCTGCAGGCGGCGGGTCACCAGCTTGTCCAGCGCGCTGGCCGCCGTGCTGTACACGTCCATGGCCGTGGCCACTCGCGCCCGTGTCTCGGGTCTCGGGTCTCGGGTCTCGGGTTTCGTTTCCCCTGTGGGGCTCCCCGGTCACCACGCCCCGTCCACGCTTCTCCTGCTCCCCGGCACCCCGGGGCTCCCTTTCCTGCTTTCGGTTTCATTTCCTTCTCCTCCTCTCTTCCGTCTCTTTCCTGCAGCTCAAGAGGTCAGTTGATGACTCTGATCGTTTTCTTAAGGGATTTCTGCCGCCCCAGGCCACCTTGCAGGGTGGGAACCGGGATAAAGGGGGTCCCTTTGTCTCCTGTGACTTCCTCTTCTTTCGCCAGTTGTGAGGCAATGCCTGCCAACCCTTGTCAAGTTCACTTGGAACTGGAAGATGGACTGTGTGCTGCCCACAGGGGCCAGTGAGCCAGGCCCATGCCAGCAACTCCACCCTGGCACCTGGAGACCCCCCCTCTCCCCCCAACACACACCTTCTTGCTGATCTGCTTGGCTGTGCAGCCCCAAGTGAGTCACTTAGCTTCTCTGGGACTCATTTTATCTGTCATATGGAAGTCATGCAAGGCAAGGTGTTAAAAGGGCAAAGGCTGGTGGGGTGAGGTGGTGCACACCTGTAATCCTAGCTACTTGGGAGGCACAGAAAAGGAGGATAGCAATTGCAAGACAGCCCTTTGGGGTGTTACTGGAAAAATAACGTTGATAATGACCTCGGTTTCTGCATCCAGCAGAAGAATTCCAGCAAGACACAAAGATTATTAGTGAAAATAATAGTAAAATATATTAGGAAGGAAATACACTTTCAACACACTAAAGCAGGCTGCCTTAGAGTGAGAACAGCAAGCTAGGTTTTAAGGTTGGAGTATTTATTAAGAAACTCTTAGCTTTGGGTCCTTTCAGTCCCTGGAGTGATTTCCTGAGCTTGGATAATTGTCTTGTTAAGAGAGGCACTGAGTAATCTACTTGTTTCTACTCTAATTGACAAAGAATGTTTTGAAACTTCTGACCTTTGCTCTATCTAGCTCTTAGGGTTTTGGTTTTTGTTTTTCAAATTTTCCTTGTGAAAACCATCCTGCATCACACATAGTTGACGTTTAGGATGTAGGTTACTCTTGGGTAGAGAGCAAATTAAGGCCAGGTCCCGTAGCTCACGCCTGTAATCCCAGCTACTCAGGAGCAGAGATCTGGAGGATCTTGGTTTGAAGCCAGTCCAGACAGGTAGTTCAAGAGACCCTATCTCGAAAATACCTAACACAAAAATAGGTCTGGTGGAGTGGCTCAAAGTGAAGGTCCTGAGTTCAAACCCCAGAACCACAAAAAAAAAATTAAGTTTAGCATCCTGTGATAGCCCCTGGGCTCTGACTATCTGATCTTAAAAAGACAGGTGGAGTTGGAATGTTGAATTACAATGATTTCTTCCTGTCTTCCTCTTGTGGCCACGCTTATGTTTAGCTGCTACCTATCGGGGAAAAGTTAGTGAGACCCCCATCTCAATCAATAAACCAGTGTAGTGGTGTGTACCTATTGCCCCAGCTATTCAGGAGGCTGTAAGTAGGAGGATTGAGATCTGAGGTTAGCCCAGGCAAAAGTGCAAGACCCTACCTGAAAAAAAAACCCTAAAGCTAAAAAGGACTGGGGGCGTGGATCAAGTGGTAAAGTACCTGCCTAGCAAGTGCAAGGCTCTGAGTTCAAACCCCAGTAACTCCTTCTCCTCCCCTCAAAAAAAAAGACAAAGATTTGTAGAGTCAGATGGACTTGGGTTTGTGGGAGAAGAAGTCAGTGGTGGTCCATTGTCAAGGCGAAACAGCAACCCCGCATGGAAAAATTACTGATAACTTACTTACAGAGCAGCAATGCACCTGGAAGAAAATCACAAATGACTGTGAAAAAATGAGGAAAAGGGTCAAACTATGTACTTGCTGGAGAGCACGGTGACAGAGACAAAGGAAGGTGGAGATCTGACTGACCCTAAGAGAGGCATATTTTAAAATAACCCGATAGGGGTGGGGGTAGAAATTTACATCCCATAGTACTCAGCCAAAGAGGAACCAGGGGAAGGACTCGTGCACTAGAAAATATAATGCTTGTTGGAATTGCTTTGGGGCAACCCATCTTGCAAGACCACTATTCAAGTCTCACTTTGCTGTACTCCATGTGTCTCTGAGTTCATCCTTTGAGTTTGGACAGTATTTCTCACAGGTTTGAGTCTCGCCCCTATCCCAACCCTCCTCCAAGCCTCAGTTTCTTCATCTGTAAAATGGGATTATACTTACTGAACTATTACTAGGTGTCAGGTGTTGTTCTAAATACTTTATAAACTCAATCCTCTGAAAAGCCCCATGAAGCAGGTACTACTATCATCTTCATTTTAGACATGAGAAAATGGAGGATCAGAGAGGTTAAGTAAGTCACCCAATGTTACACAGTCAGTAATTGCCAGAGCCAGGATTGGAACACAGGCAGCCTGATCCCAGACTCCTTGCTTTTCAACTCCTTGCTCTGCTGTGTCACGAGGCTGTTACATGAGGATGAGATGCGAGGGTGAACGTGAAGCTTTCAGACACTTCAGTGTTAACACGTGGGGGCCGTGATGTGTATGTTCGCGCCTCACAGTGAAATGTCAAAAACAAAGTCCAGTACAATTCCAGGCTGCGTGATGCAGACTGAGAGCAGGGAGGTGGTGGTTCTGCTCTTCGATGGATGGTATGTGTGCTAATGATGACCCAGAGGCCTTGGTCAAACAGCACAAAGATGGAGCCCATCGGTCAACAGCTCAGCCTGACGCTGGAATGGAAGCCGACCTCATCTTGTTCTGAAAACCAGCAAGTGGCCGACAGCCCGCGGCGTAGGCTCGGTGGCACAGGCTGGCTTGGGTAGAGGTCTAGGCAGCATGGTCCAGCTCTACAGAGACCGAGTTAGCAGCCTGGACTTTCTCTCTGGGTCCCCTTCCAAAACGCAGCCACAGCTGTCACCAACCTCTACAGAGAAAGTGGGGCTACCCGTCAGCCAAGTTTTGACACTGGAATTCAGATCGGCCATCAGTGGCAAAATAGGACGTGTTGACTTGGGTTAGAAAACGCAGAACTACTCGTAGAGCCAGTTCGGTCTGATGTGCAGCCTCCTGGGTTGCCCTACTTTGCCCGTCTTGGTGCAATGGCTGGTGTGGGTGTGGGTCGAGGACCCCAGGCTCTCCTGCACATGCAAGCAGTGGATCGGATGCTAATCGAAGGAGAAACAGACTCCATGATGTCAATTTGCACACTTTCCTGTCAGAAGAAACGGGGCTCTACTGGGACAACAGTGGAACTAGAAAGCGTACCTCAGCCCAGTGTGGTGATGTCATCACAGACTCACCAGCCCATAAACGCAACAGAACGATTAAACTGCAAACGTTTTCATACCCACCATGCTGATTGAAAGCCACTTGGTCCTCAACATATACTTTTATGGCCAAGGAAACATGAGGCCATCTTCCCTTGTTTACTGTTGAAGACAAGTGAATTCTACAGTGGTTGCCATGAAAGGAAGTTCTAGGTATTTACGGTTGATGCCTCTCGTAACTATGGCTTTCTCAAAACTAATCCAGACGGCGTCAGAAACTGTGTAGTCGTTAGCAAGGTCATCATAGGCACACGTATATCTGCTCCAAGGCTAAAGTGACCTTAACTGCATTTATTCTCAAAGGGAGAGAAAATATCAGATGTTTATTTGGTTACAGGTTGCTTTCTTCTCTTCCTCCTTCTCCTCTTCCTCTTCCTTTGTTGGTCCATTTCCTGCTGTGTTGAATATTTTACTTCAAAAATTTCCAAAGATTGTCTTAAAACACAATTTGGCCTTCTTGTCGAATCTGCAGATTTCTATTTTTGCAGTCGCATTGAACCATGTACCTGGTTTTTATATAGTAACAGTGCAACCTCTAATTGTCAGACTATATATGTCCTATTTTTACTTTTCAAATTCTAGTGATTGTGTGGTGTAAAGAGGTGCTGTGATGGTCATGCAATTTATATTTAATATTGCATCAAATCAATACATGGAACTTTATTGGAAATAAAAAAAGAAAACCAGCAGGTCTTCAAGTGCTGATCATCGATCAGCTGGCTAACCCAGGAGTGTGTGTGTGTGTGTGTGTGTGTGTGTGTGTGTGTGTGAGAGAGAGAGAGAGAGAGAGAGGGAGAGAGAGAGGGGGGGGAGAGAGAGAGAGAGAGAGAGGGAGAGAGACATGGGGCATGCTATTTGAGGGAGCACAAGCCGTGGAGCTGACACCATCTACACTGGCGAGCTGCAGTTATCCTGTGTCCCGATTCTGTTCATATTTGCTCTGTAGGAGCACAGCCGGTCACTGCACATTGGCCAAAGCCGAAGGGGACCTTGATCCTCCTGATCTAGGATGAGGCAGAGGTTAGGAAACCCGATGGCTGAGAACGATGGCTCGGAGGTTGACAAGGAATCACCGCTGACGTTAGCCGAACGGTTGTGATGTACAGCAGGGCCTGGGCCCCAGAGCCTGTGGAAAATGACAGTGGTGTCCGACCATCCCAGGCCATGAACTCCCCACGCGACATGTGGGAGGAGTCAACGACTCATAACTCAGTCTCCGGAAGTTAACGCACAACCCAGTTTCCCAGGACCGACCACCCCAGGTTCACAGACCCCAACAGAAGCTTGAAGTCTTGGTACCTCCAGCACCTTGCTCCCTCTTGAGCCTGTCCTCTCTCCCGGCTGGAGGGCGCCCTTTCGCTCCTGCTTAAATCCCATCTGTGTCCGTCCTTGAATTTTCTCTGAGCAGACCAAGAACGTTCTGGGCCTTGCATGCAATGACCCAAACTTGGTGATGCTCTCTGAAGCAAGGAAACTGAGGTCACTGTGGCTGCGGACAGGACTATGGGATGCAGGGGCTGCGTGCAGGGGGCGTGGCTACATGCAGTGGGTGGGTCTGCTGCGGGGTATGTGTCTTGTGCAGGGGGTGTGGCTGCGTGGTGGGGGCGGGGCTGTGCGCTGGGGCGGGGCTGCAGGGGGTGGGGCTTGTGCGGGGGCGGGGGTGGGGGGTGGGCACAGAAAACAGCAGAGG